GAAAACTATTCAATTTTCGATTCTTCCTGTTACATTTTTTCTAGGTGCGTTTGGCTGACCACAGCAGCAGAGGAGAGTGATCTACACGGTGCACATCTTTGACAGGACGAAGCCGCAAAGTACGGGCGCGTGGTGGTGGGTGCGGGGTTGTGCGGGGGTGGTGTTTCTTGATTGGGAGCAGTCCCGGCCGGAAGGGTACTTACCGGCCTCCCGTTTAGGCCTAAAGAGGTAACCAAATGGGCAGAGACCGAACGAGCGCGCGCGCGGGTCGTATACCGCCGCCCCGCGCCGACTCAAAGTCGCCGCCGTGTCGGTGCGGTCAGCCAGTGCGGAACGGGGTTCCAAACACATACGAGTATGGCCGGGCGGCGGCGCGGGCGGCGGGGCAGAGAGGGGCCGGCGTGGGAAGAGAGGCCCCATCTCTCGGATTATCCCCCCCCTCTCTCTCTCTCTCTCTCTCTCTCTCTCTCTCTCTCTCTCTCTCTCTCTCTCTCGTGTGCACGGTCTGGACGCGGGTGAGAGGGGGGGAAGTGAAAGGAGAAGGAAGGCGCTGCGGACATCAAAGCACAGCCCCTCCCCTCACCCTTCCCCACATGTCATGAGAATTATCATAAGTATCGGTTGGACGCCTCGAAATGGATTAAGAGTTAGTGTGTGTGTGTGTGCTGTGCTCTCCACGCGCTTCACGCCAAGGCGTGTTGGTGTGTGGCAGGTCCCCCCCCCCCTCAGCGGCCATCATCAACGCCATGTCAGACAACAACGAGAAAGAAATTCCCGCCGTTCAGAGAGAGAGAGAGAGAGAGCAGAGCTCAGTGCAGACGCAGCACTACCAACCAGCCGCGGTAGCCAACTGCGGTGCGTGAAAGATTTATCGAAGTCTTTGCGTCAAAGAGGGGTGCACGTGCGTCTCTCCCACGTGACGAGGAAAAGTCTCACGGAAAAACGTCGTGCGCGGGTCGCGCTGGAATCGCTCTTGTTCTCACTCAGCAGCTCTCTCGCTCTCTCTCCCTCTCTCTCTCTCTGTGGCAAAGGGTGTGGCGCGGTGGTGACAAGTGAACCAAAACGACGAGAACGAGTCGGTTCGGTAGTAGAGAGATGCTGCCCGCCCCGCCTCGCCCCGCACCGCCCGAAGGAGGCCAGCGGCAAGAAGACGTCGCCTAGTTTTTCATTCACAAGACTGTAGTAGAAGCTCTCCTCGCCCTCCTCAGCCCAGAGACTGACGGTGAAGAAACGAGTGAAAGATCCCGGCCCCGCCCCACCCCTCACCACCACGTCCCGCGGCGAGCGTGACAGTTTGATGCCCCTTAGAGGCGTTCCCAGAACGCCCTCCTCCTCCACCTCGCCCGCGAGAAACTACACCAGTAGTGCCCCATACACTCGCTGACTCGGCTGGGTCGGCCGTTCAACCGCGCCCTGTGCGCCGCTCTCCCGGCGAGTGGCGACGCGGCGGGGCGTGGCGCGTCGGGACACCCCGCCGGTCACCCTTTGGCGCGCTCAGACCGACGTGAAACAACAGAGCAGCACCTGCCAAACACACGTGCAAGACGACTCGCCACGGCGAACTACTTTACAAAAAATCACTTGTACAACACACAATAACATTTACAGTCAAGATATAATCTTGAATTACAAAGCTCATTCAATGACAAAAGTGTTTCTCGAATCAATGTAATGTGAGTAGCTTGATAAAAATATGCAGAGTAAAATATGTGGTATTTTCTTTTTTCACGGCTTACAGAATTTAATATGACGCGCTTATCTGAAATTAGAAGGTACAACTGAGACCGGCCTCTACCTTTTCGACGGCTCCTTCATTACACAAACTTGAGAGGTGGGGGCATAGCGCGGAGGCCGAACAAAGTCATCCGCGCGATCCATGTTAAACGAGATTATCGATTCGATAGATCGATAGCGACGTTAATTGGCGCGTCGTTGCCAGCACTCCAACAGGTGGCGCCGCTTTGGCCTCCGCGCCCGCCGCCAGCAGCATCCTCGACAGAGATAAAACTGATTCGTGTTCACACTGGGCATGAGAAATGGAGAGAGGGAGAGAGAGAGAGAGAGAAAGAGAGAGAGACTGACTTCACACGGTCCCAATCATCACTACGAGTTGGGGTTATGCTCGCCCAATTATAAGCGATACGGTGAGACGTTTGTTCCATCCACGTAGCAAGAGGAGGACCCGGACCCTCTAAGGAGGGAGTTCCCATGCCTCCGCAGCCGTACGTAGCCGCCCCTCTGTCCCGGACAGGACGGGACGAAAGCGGGAACACGTACACTTACACTCCCGTACTGCACCACACCAGCTCGCGGAGAGAAAAAAAAATATATCCGACGTGACCAAACATGACTAAGTAAACAAAACATCCTGTTTTTATCAAATTCTCGGATCAGCAGGCTTTTTCATTTCATTTCCGCTAAATTGTTTGTACAACGTAATTTGATTTTCGATACTGTGAAAGTGATTTTGGCTCCCAGTATCCCGGTAAGGTGCTCTCGGCCCATCAATGCCTTGCCTCGCGCAGCCGGACCGGTTTGGATTCCCCCAATCGGGAACTTAAGCTCTATTCTCTTTCTCACACGACCTCCAATATACGACGACGCAAGCAAGAGAGAGAGAGAAGCATATAGCACGTTTTCGGAGGCCTCCCGGCGGCTGACCGGTCAGCAGGAGCGCGGAGATGGCTTATAGCCCGGGGCGGGGCGACCTTCCGAAAACAGACAGATTCGCCCGACGCACACGCTGTAGGCTGTACTACACCAGCCCGACCATAGAGGGGCCCGACTGACCTGCCGTCATTACCGAATCAATTTATTCCGAACTCCG